TGTTAGCCTGCACAGCATGGCTTTTGCTTTTTCGGTGATGAAAATTCTTGTGGATGCATAACAACAAGGCTGTTGACATATGAATCTTCTTTAGCTTGTAGAAAAGAGTCAAAGCACCCAATCCCTGGAAATGGTAGGTGGCTGCATCAAGGTGAAATACGGAATTGGCCATCTAGTACCCAGTCGCACTATCACAGGGCACATTGAAAGTGCGTGTTTGAACATGAAGTGGCCACATGGATCCCTCATTCAATTTTTCGCATATGTTTTGTAAATGCCTATCTTAATCTCTAAGCACCCTGTTGGTTAAATTTACAAAGACTTGGCTAGAGGAAGCCGAACCTCTGCTTCTCACAGTCTCCTACTTCTGCAATAATCACAGTAACAATGCGCATAAATCAAACCTTATCGCCTTCTCTACAGATACTCTAGATTTCAAAGCATTGCTATGCTTAGAGCTTCTGTCTGGTTCCATCTTTTCTAAAGATTAAAAAAAATAATTGCAAAGTGGGCACAGACTTTTGCAACAACCGGGTACACGGGGCTCTAGCACTTCCGCCAAGCAGAAGGGTTATCCAGGGTTTAAGGGCCTGCTTTAGAAGGGAAGTGGCTGGCTAAAGAAGAGAGCCAGTAAACAGAGAAGAGCAGAAATGTAAAAGAACCACACCACTTGAAGTTTAAAAAATCAAATTGATCTAGGGACCTCTGTAGTTGAAAATGTAGGACTGTCATTTCATGCAAAGGAGTCTGAGAAGCGAACAATATTAACCCATATTAGAAACTCTCAGGTTCCAGCAAATCCGCGTGGGGAGAATGGAGAAAGGCAGGCGTCTCTGCTTCCGAATGGCCTCTTTTCACAAAGGGCGCGAGGGGGTGATATCTTGTTGGTTTAGAGTTGATTTATTCACTGGTGTTGTAAAATCTAAAATGAAGCCGCGGGGCAGACAAAGAGACTCCAGGGACCCCATGACCCCGCTGCTGCCTGGTGCAGCCAGGCTGACCTGAGCATCCCCGGTGAGGTCGCTGAGCGAAGATGTCCCTGTGCGCAACTTCCAGGCTCTCCAAGTCCAGAGGGCTTCACTCTCAAATTGAACTGGGAGCCCTGCTTCCCTGAGGTCCAGAGCTGGAGGCTTTAGAGCCCCAGGAAGGATTCTTGGGCAACCCAAGCATTGGGCTTCGAAAGTGCCTCCCTAATACCTCAAAGCTGAAATCATCCTCTGCCCAGACCCAGTGGAGATCACTGGACTATTTTCCCCAGATTTTAAAAAGGAGGTCGCTCATCTCCTGTTCTCTAACTGCAAAATAAACAAAATTCACAACTATTTTCACATTTGGCTTTGGGGGTTCAGAGACCTCCCCTGATTCTAGGTTTTATCTCTACCCATCTGAAGTGAAAAATTTTCAGGCCATCCTTCAAATGATTTATTTTATTGGATCCTCGGATGAATTCAGATAACTGAAGCTCAAATTCAAATTCAGAAGCCTGCAAGGGCACAAGCCCTAGGGCAGTGGCTCTCCGGATGCTTCAGTGTCATCACCATAACAAACGCCAGGGGACTTTCTTAGACTTCGGTAAGAATGTCCGCTGGGTAGTGCCCCCGAAAACGTTCCTGCTCTCCTGGGTGTTTGTCTCGGTGTCGGAGAGGAGTTAGGAGACAGGCCGGCAAGGGTGTGGCCAGTAGGCTGGGCAGGCGACTCTGGTCTCATTTGCACCTCTACTTTTGTGACAAATGGATTTCCTGGGGTGCAGTTCTACACTGACTGCATCCCACCTCTGCCCGGTGCGCCCTTGGCCGGCTGGTGAGCCCGCCTGTGTGTGCACGCGTGTCTAATTGACTTTCCGTCTACCTTTTTATGACTACATGTGTTTCCAACAAAAGGTCTTATTAGGACAATCTGGTTTCACTAATTTAGAGGTTGGGAACGGGAAGGCAAGAGTTGTGTTTTGTTTACAGAAGCTGAGATTAAGAAATGACAGGGAGATGCACTGTCTAGAACTGCGCTTGTGCGTGTGTGACCTGTTTCTCTTTTCTCTCCCTGGCTGCCCCTGTCCTGCCATCTCCCTCATTCACGTACCACATTTCCACTGAGCCACTGGATTGCTAACAGGGTTTCAAAAAGCCATAAGTTTGAGAAATTTACCATGTTAGAAGAGTCAGCAGAGGAGGGAAGAAATTTGTCTATGGAAAGAAAAACACACTGGATATCAATTAAGAGGAGGGAGGCTGGGTCGCTGACAGAGGTAGGAAGGTCAGCAAGAAGTCGTCGTCACTGTTCAAGACGTTTAGCTCCTCTTTGCTACACTCAGAATACTGAAATCTAAAATCTTACAAAATTAAGAATGCCATACTGAAGGTACTGGCAGAACAGGCAGTAGAACCCATTTTGCTAATTTCCTCAAACACAAAACTTACACAGGACAAGGGTATTCTGGATAGCTGGAAAGGTCGAAGTCAACTTTTCACGGCTCACCATCCCTCAGATAATCTTTTCCTACTTTGCAGTGTTGTCTCAGCTGAATGCAGGGAGTGCCCTGCCCAGGTGCAGTTTCAGTCTCTTGCTTCACTGGCTCCTGGTATAACTCTTCAGTTCCCTTAGAGCCCGAACCTCTGCAGGCTAGAGGCCCACTGGACCTCTCTGGTCTAGACTTCCAAGCAGCTTATAAGAAAACTGCCTTGGAAACTCCTAATGGAAACCCAAGAACTCAGAACAATGGTCCTCTGGCCACTTGGGATCACCAGACATCTCATTCTCTTCCCATTCTCTCTGAGGAGAAAAGGAGGAGATTCAGGAAACATTGCTTATAAAAGTGACAAACTGTCTGTTAGAATAACCCCTTGACTATCCCTCTGCAAAGCAAGACCCCCTGCATTCCTAGGTGCAGGGCCTTGTTCTGTACTCCGTGGCTTCTCCTGAACCTGTAAATTTACTGACAGTGTTCTGTGATGTGCCCCCTCCTTAATTTGCCTTCAGAGCCTCAGTTTCCTCTAGGTGAGTTCTCCCTACAAGGCCTGCCTACTCCTGGTAAGTAGGAGATGAGCTCCAGTAGAAGGGAAGCGGTTTCCCATGTCCTAGCCCCTTCTCCCTGGAAAACCATCCCCAATTTTGTCCATAAACCTGAGCCTCTCCTCAACAGGCCTCAGCGATGCTTCTGCACCAGGCCCACCCAGGTCTCATATAGAGCCACTGTTACACGGCCTTGACAAGTCCAGAGCTCACTTCTCTGACATCCATTTGAAGAAGCAAAGCAACTGGACCTTCCATGCAGAGCCCAGCACATACTGCACCCTGTGCGGAACTTACAGAGGTCGCCTGACCTTGGTCCTGCTTTCCCATCCTCCTCCATTCTCCTGGGGTAAAGGGGCACTGTCTCCCTTCCCTACCCAACCGTGGTATACACAGCAGTTTCTTTACAGTCCCGTTTTCTGTTGGGAGTCTCCGCCTTTGGTTTTCCAAACAGATATAAATACTGTGATTACTAATTAGGCACGGGCAGGATGGGAATGTCAGAAATGCAGAATCTATGAGCCTGGGTTCCAAATGTCGTTGTTGTGTGTTTTACATTTTCCCTAGTAAAACATTCAAAAAGAATTATAGTATTTCGACTGCATTTTGTTAGAGCTAATAGTACCTGAGAATTACTTTACAAATCCTGCTAAACCGTACATCAGGAGCTTCCAAAGCACCAAAACCCTAAACAGAATGCCTCTGCCGCTGAACCAATCCTTTTACAGGAGTTGGGGACACTGATTCTTCACCGCTTAGAATCCACTACCTTTCTCTATTGAAAGGCCCGATCACATCTCCTCCTGCATCCACTGTCACCCTCTGCAAGAGCGAGTGGGTGTAATAGAGTGGAGTGACCCCAAACTGTCTCTGGCTAAAATCATTCAGACGGGAGCCAATGCAGAACTGAAGAATGGGGACAGGGGCAAGAGCCCCTAGGCCTCCCTTCTATCTGATCTAGAGTGCCCATTGGGCCCCCACCAAAGGGTACAGGCCCTTCCCAGCTGTTCCTAAGCTCTGTTTGCTTTTTATGTCTATTTATTGAAAGTCTGAGGCAGGTAACATTTTGGGAAAGGCATAGAACATTGGTGTGTTCCCAAAGTTACCGAATTTCACGAAAGAGCCCTAATGGTACAGAAAGCAATCATTTCAGAACTTTCAGCCAAGTTCAACTATCCCAACCTTGCAAAGAGAAGCAACTATCTGTGTGGATCAGGTGACAGAACTATTACATATTCAGGGGCCACTGGATACACTCGCAGTCACATTTTAAAAGCAAAGTTAATGAGATCAGCCCTTCCTGGGACAGATCACCTGGTCAGTGTGGGGAAGGCAGGAAGCTTGTATTTGGACTTTAACGCAGATCTTGGGGCCACCAAGCAGAGACCTCCTGAAATGTGACACTGGCCTCAGCTCTGAAGCCCGCGATTCCCCGGTGCCTGTGCCTGGTGCAGGCGGGATCGCTGGTGCCACCTCTAAAAGACATTCCGTGGCTTCTCCTGAGTGCGCACAAGTCAACGGGGCTTTTCTTTCCACCTCAAATCCCTGTGTAGGTGGAGGCGACAGCAGGGGTCCCGGAGCAACTTGGGGACCAGGGCGCTGGCCCCGGAGGTCCGCGCGAGCGCTGCTCAGAGCCGCGCCCCCGTCCCCGCGCCGCGCCTTCCCCAAGCCGGTCCTGCGGACTCCGCTCCACTTCTGTACCCCGTGGCTGTCCGCAGGGCGCCGCGCAGGACCTGTCCCAGCCCCCGGGTGCCTCGCCAGCCAACATGCAGGCAACGACCCCGGCCGCAACGCGGGTGCAGCGAGGCATCCGCACCCAGGCGCAGGCCCCGGCGCCCCTGTCGCACCGCCTGGCGGAGCCTCCTCCATCACCCTGCTCCCGGACGGCGACAGCCACGTCTCCTCGGGCGCTGGTCTCCGCTCTCCCAGAAACCCTGAGCTCCCTCTGTGCTCGCCTCCCTCCTCGGCCCCGAGCCCGGGTCCCGGACACTCACTGTCCTGCTGCGGGGTGTCGCTGCCGCTGGTGAGACCCGGCGACTCCAGCAGGCTCCGGCCCGCCTCGCCCACGCTCTCGTCGGCCTGCGCCGCCACCATGTCCCCGGCCTCCTCCAGGTCTAGCAGGTGACTGACGGAGAAGTTCTTTTTCGCCTGCAGGGTGTCGAGGTTGCCCGGGCTGTCCAAGCGGCCGCCCAGCGCCGGCTGCCGCTCCAGAACGTGCCCGTAGCTGGAGGTCATGGTCCCCCCTCGATCCCACCCACCCCCCTCTTCCCGCTCGAATCAACACCAAAGGCTGTGGGGGCGAGGGGGGAGAGGAGGCGAGTGGGGAAGAGAGAGGGGGGAGTGCAGAGAGAGAGAGAGAGAGAGAGAGAGAGAGAGAAGAGAGAGCAAAAAATGTGGGGAAAAGGGCGGGGGACCCCTTCTGCGGAGCTGAGCGCTCTGCACCCGCAGCCTTCCGAAGCCTTGGTTGCTTTCCTGAAGCCAAGTCCGGCGCGGTCCAAACAGAGATAGTCCACACCAAAAAATAAAATTAAAAAGTTACCCTGTTCAGGTCAGGAGAAAAAAAATTCAATTTTCAAAAAGCGTCCACACCACGCACACACTAAAAATAATAATAAGGGGAGAGAGGAAAGCGGAGGCCAGCAGGGCGGGGGAGTTAGGCAAACAGAAGACGACGGAGGAAGGGGTGGGAGACAAGAATCAAAGTGGGTTTTTAAAAAATGTTTTTTTAAAGAAGTTATTCCCCGGCAAGAGTTCAAGCATCAACAGAAGAAGGCTTGTTCCAGCTTTAAAACATCTTCAAGAAAACGTGTTCCCCCCTCTCTGCACTCCTGTGGATTCTCAGGAGTGACTAAAGTTTCAGGAGGAGAGGGTGATGTCTTGCAGATGTATTAGAGAGCAGGATTCTCACTTTACTTTTCCTAAGGCGTAAAAAAGGAAAAAAAAAAAAAAAAAGAAAAAGAAAAACTAAAAAGTAGGGCTCCAAGGTCCGAAGGAGGGTGGTGGTGGGTTCCCCCCTTTCCCTTCTCGCTCTCCCCCTCTTCTCGGCGAGCTCCTTTTTCCTTCTCAGTTGGATCAAGAAGCTCTCTGGCACTTCAAAAGGCACAAACTGGCATGCAGAGGAGACTTTGTAGGGAATACAAGAAAATTGGAGACCCCTGGGAGGGCAGATCTCGACTTAATAGGAGCCTGTAATTACGTGGCAAAGCCTTTGTGCCGCGCCTGACGTTTTACAGACCCCCTTTCTCCATTGCAATCTCCTTCTTCCTCCTTTCCCTCAGACCAAAAAAAACACTCTGATTAAGAAAACCCCCTTTGCCAACATCAGAGCGAGAGAGAAAGGGAGAGGGAGGGAGCAGGAGCGGGCGAGGGGGAGGAGGGAGAGCGGGAGGGGAGAGAAGTAGGGAGCCCCCTCGGATTTTTAAAGTAAAGGTCTAATTATCATTCCCCTGCAATAGTATCACAGGGAGAAAAGACAAACTGAAACCCACAGTCACTTCAAACGGGTGGATTATTTTGCTTCGGCATTAACTCCTCCAGATTTGTTTAAGATCCCGTTGGAAAAACCTCATTTGCATGTTTTGATAACAGCTACAGGGAAACTTCTTGGGGGAAAAAAATCCACAACTATCACCATCAAATTTTCTCCCCCCTTAACGCTTCCCGCTGTTCTAACCGTTTTTTTTTGGGGGGGGGGGGGCGCAGGGTGCGTCCGAGGGAGAAGAGCTGAGGAGCCAGCAGATCGAGGCCGCCTTTGGCTCCGCCGCCAGCCTATTAAATAATGCAATAAAACCACAAGCGCAGTCCTCGCGGGAGGCGCTCCCACGCGTCTCTGCAGATGCAAGCTGGTGGCGGAGACCAGGGAAGCGCCACCGCGATCCCAGGCGCTGCTTCAAACCACGCGGAGGGAGGAAGCGGCGAAAAAGGCCCCTGGAGTAGATGGTCCGGGTCCCCCACCCCTGCTAATCTTGCACCCTCCTCAGGGTGGCAAAGGTCGCTTTCTCGGGGGACCACGCTGGGCGCGAAAGAACCCGATCGCCCCGGTACGGAAGGCGCGGGGACCCCAAGATTCCCCGTCTCAGTCACCCCGAGGGCTCGGTTGCTTGCCCAGCCCTGACTTGACCCAGGGCAGAGAAGTGCTGCGCAGTTTTTGCATGGAATTCAGGAACCGTTTTAATGGTCTCATTAGAAATGTGTTACTATATGAAGAAGACATAAAATAGCAAGCGTTTTGTTTGAGGCGTTTTGTCCTTTAAGCACGCGCACCCACCCGCGCTCTCTCCCTCTGGTTAGATTTTTTTTTTTTTTTTTTTTTTTTTTTCCTGTTAGAGCTGAGAGGTTCGATTGCAGGGAAAAGGGGTCCGCGTGTGTGCAAACGGCCACAGTTAGCCCAGAACTTCCAGCCCTGATCTGGGAAAAGAACATTTGATGCCATCAAAGAGCTGCAGATTGAAACCAGATGTGCTCGCCTCGGCTCTTTCCATGCATTTAATTAAGGAGCCTGGACGGAGGAGGCTTTTTCATCATTAGTCCACCGCCCCCTCCGCCCACGGGCTGCTCGGGGCTACTCGGCCCGGGCCGGGGCCCCGCGTGGCCAGCAGCGCGGGCGCGGGTGGGGAACGCGTGTCCGCGTCGGGGTGGGCGCGCGAGGACAGCGGCCTCCGCCGGGCCAGCGCTTGTGCCCTCCGCGGTGTGCACGCGGCTTGGTGGCTGAGATTTCCACCCGCGTCCTCCTCTGAGTGGGCCGCAGGGTCGCTTCGCGCGTCCTCGCGAGGACCAGACCCGGGGCGGCTTCTTCTCCTCTCCCTTCTTCTCGTGTCGCGACGCCCATCTGACAGTTGTGTTTCTTTCCCCTCGGGACAGGATGCCCTCTGTGACGAAGGGCTGGCTCCTGGCATCCTTTCCCCCTGAAGACTAGGGACCTCTTCAGCAGGCCAGGAAGTGCCTTGTCCCAGAGTACAATCAGCATGGCTGGTGACAAGGGACGGTGATGGGGAAAAGAGGTCACGGATGGGCAGGAGACGCACGGTTAATGTCTCCACCCGAGTTCACCGTCTGCCCCAGAGGAATCAGGCGCGTTGGGAAAATCACCTATTTGCTGTTGGTGTTAATGTTTGCCGGTGGCACCAGTACAGTTCGGGTGCTGACAGCTTCCGCGAAAACTCATGCATGTTTGCTAAGTATTTGTCGACCAAATATGTTTATCTATGACGTAATTTTCTATGCGAAACGTTTTCCCAGATGTCTCTTGGACAGAAAGTTCAAATGCAAGCGCATAGAGCCTGGCCTCTCCAGCCGGGCTAGGACCAGAGCCTCGCTGACTCAGGACTCGGGGTAGCCTTGAAGACCGAGGAACACAGGGCATCAGTACTCCAGCAGCCGGCTGGAACTGCAGAAGGGGAGGCCGCAGGCAGGACCCCCTCCCCAGGCTGTGTGGCTTTCTGGGCCCTTCCCAAAACTTACCTAAGGTCCTAGCGTTGGTCCCTTAGGAACCAGCGTCACCGTCACCGGAAGAGTGGGGTCCGGAGGAGGGGAGAGAGACGCTCAAGTCCCCTTGGAAGCAAATCCTCTAGACAAGCAGCACCCTGAAAAAATTGGTCCTGTCCATCCCATCCCCATTTTTTATTCATTATTTTTAGGTCTTTGTGGGTTGTTTTTTCAAGTAACAATTACAAATATGTGGGATCTGCACTCGTGTTTATACACAACATTTATAATTTTTTTCAGATTATGGATTGTAATTGTAAAAAGTCAAGACAGCACTACAGGGAAATTCAAAACAAGACAGAGAGCGCCTTTACCCCTAAGGAGAAAAGAGGCTGAACAGGCTTTCCCAGCACCCGCGGAGCTGGCGGAGCTGGCGCTGCTACCACAATGCTTCGGAAGGGGAAGAGTCTTACTGCAGTGCCAACGTCCCTAGCCCTGGGCTCCGCTGCTTGACACCTAGATTTTAGGCCTTACTCGGAAAGAGGGGTGGAGCAAGGGGGAAGCTGGTGGACCCAAGTTCTTGGGGCTGAGGTTGCACTTAGCAGAGGATTCAGCACCTCCTGACCATCTGGCAGAAAGATGTGAGGGGTGGAGATCAGAAGCTGGGCGGAGAGCACTTGCTCCTTTCCCAAGCAGGCAGCCAGGCCTGGCCTGGGAACTTAGAAAACCCTAGAGGAAAGGAGCCTGCTGTTGCCCCTCTAGTTCCTTAACCGCTATTTTGCTTTCCCTTTGTGACTTCCTTTAAGGAAGAGGAGGAAGGAAAGCATTTTTATTTCAAAATCTTTAAGCATGAGTAGGCCTTCCCTTGGTTTTAGCTTTGACTTGCATCTGTCAATCAAAACCCATCAAAGTCTGAAGCCCTGGGTAATGTAACTAACCAGAACTTTCTTCCTCGTGACCCTTCCAGCATCTGAAGCTAGCTTGCCAACTATTATTTCTGCCTACTCCCTTTTTTTAAAATCTCCTTTTTTGGGATTCTTCCCCAAGAAAGTAAGAGCAGAGCTGAGATGAACAAGGAAAGTTGCCAAGAGATTAGAGCAAGGTAGGAAGGAAGTTTGGTTCACAGCCACATGTTTCTGGGTGGTCTATTCATAGGTTTGTTATTGATTAAGATCCAGGGTTTCCCTGGCACTGGAAACTGGCAGAACTCTGCCCCATCTGGCTAACAGGATGTCCCCCACCCTAACCAGGTTCCATTCTGAACTAGAAGCTAGCAGTTGCTCTCCCTGGTGTGTTAATAAGCTGACACATAATCATACGTGACAAGTCTCAGGTTCCATGATGTCCAAAGAAGACAATATCACCCTCAAGCAAACGACATGCTGTGTGGGGTGGAAATACCTTCCTGCCCATGGTTGAGTATCTAGCACACATTCATTAACAATGAAAACATCAGGCAAGTGTGAAATATAAGATAGATTCAACAGGGTGCCCATATGTTAATGTATCTGAGGAAAGGTTATGCCAGGCCTCTCTTTTGCCTTCCAAGTCTCGTTCTTATAATCTTAAATAGCATTTCAGAAACAGACAAATGCTTTCCACACACACCCAACTCCATTCCCCCTCAACTCTACCTCGTAGCTCTATCAAATTATTTTGAAATTATGCAATAGTAAAAGGAAATAAGAGCAGAAACATGCTTCCAAGTAGGGAATACTATATCTCTTCTATTACAGGCTCAGAGGCCCAGCACATGAAGTTCGGTCCCAGTTTCCTTAGACCCATCTGCTCCTCAAACCACCAGGCACTGACTGCATATACCATTGAAACAACTTTAGCTAAAGACAGCAGTGACCTGCACACTGACTTGCAATAAATGCTCCTCAGACCCTATTCTGCTGAATGTAATTGATAAAACCTATATTGAATACTCTCTTTGAAATTTCTTGTCTTATTTATCTGCCCACTTCCTTTTTCTCTTCATAGTGGTTTTTTTTTTTTACTCAAATGATGATATTCTCTAGAGTTCTGTCTACCATCCTCACTGTCCTTCAGAATAAATAGGTTACATATACATGTGTTAAAAATCAATTTGCTTCTCAATGAGAACAAAATCTAAATCTTAACTTGGTCACTGTGGTGGATTAACTGTGGCTCAACTTGTAACACTCAGCTGAACTGAGTCAGAGTGGTTCTGCGTGTGGAAGGCCCACATGAGGATTGCTGCCAACAGCATAAATGAAGAACTGCAGGAGAAGAGAGTGTGCTGTTGATTCTCTTAAAGAATGAACTCCCCTGTTCTCATCCTCAGAGGCACTGGCTCCTTGCTGTGGCTGAGGATAGCTGCAATCCTTTTAAGCGAACTCTGGTCCTTACCTTGAGTATTGCTTCCTGGCTCCAGGGCAGATTTCTCAGCCTGCTGGCACAGATCCTTCTTCCCACTGTTGCAGACTTTCTGGCTTCCACTATTGACCTTTGGGCCTTCCTAGTGTAGACCCTTGACACAGACTTGCTTGTGACATTGTCCTGGGCTCTAGGTCTCCACCTGGACTTGTACAGGGCATTATCATGGGATCCAGACTCTTAGCTGGATTATTTGAATCTCTAGTGCATGGACAGATCTTTTGTACTCTTCTACACTTGACTTTTGGGGGAGGGAATATTATAAAATAATCCTATAAATTACGTGCTCAGTATTAAAACTATTCCCTTGAAAACCCTGACTGAGACAGTCACTTACTTACTTTGCCACCTTAAACAAACTGAACAGTTTATGCCTCTCAATTTAATCATCTTGCAGGTAAGCCTGAAAAGGCATCTATCAAATGCAGAATATTTGTAAAAATTAAATCAGAATATATGCAGTCTATTTAGCAAAGTACTTAGCATAAAGAAATCCTTGAACATAAAAGGACAGCTATTTCTCTGCCGGGTGTGCACATTTACTGAGAATGTTTTCCTACACAGTGTACAGTAATAACATGATTTCAGAGAAATTGCTTCTAGGGTACAATGTTCCATGTACAGAACTTGGCATAAGAGGCATAATTGTACCTAGACTAATTACAGCTTGTCGCTATCTCCGGTATCTTTTATATCATTCTTTCTTTACCTTTTATCACTACAAATAAAAAAAAGATACGTAATACTTGAAAAAACTGATTTTAAAAGTGTGAAATAATTTGTTATTTTAACACTTCGGAGATGACAACTCTATTACTTGTATGCCTTAAGCCACTATTATGCTCCTTTTAAGAATCTGTACATTTTCCTTTTATGAATCTGGTACTCAGCTCTGCATTTTTTAATTTTATTTTATTTATTTATTTATTTATTTATTTATTTATTTTTGTTGGTACCAGAGATTAAACTCACGACCTTGTGTTTGCCAAGCAGGCACTTATACCACTGAGCTAAATTCCCAGCCCTCAGCGCTGCATTTAAAACATCAGAAATATATCCCGCACCCCTCCACACATATACACACATACACACATACAAATACCACAGAGCAAAATGCTGTTTTTGCTACTCATTCGTCATTCTCTTTTTCTTGCCTTGTTCTCTTTGGCATCTTCTGGAAACCAAAAGCTCAAATTGCTTTCTTCAAACTTTGAAGGGTGAGATTTGGTGAGCATTCTAATATTCATTAGTATTTTGCATGCCAGCATTCTGGGAGGCTGGGTCAGGAAGGCTGCAAGTTCCAGCTCAGCCTGGGCAATTTAGTGGTGTAGCAAGATGTAGGGGATGTAGCTCAGTGTGACGATCGTATGTTCAATCTCCAGTACCACAAAAATACAGAAATATAACACAGGATATTAAATATCAAACTTCATATTATATTGTGGATCCAATGACATAGAATTTCACCGTTAAACCTTGAGCTATGAACAATTCGCTAGTGTAATGGGAAGAGCCATGAAAGGTTTTTTTTAGTACATATTTGTAGTACATTTATGTCACATTATTTGTGTAGATTCAGTACAGGTTCATAGCACATCTTAATACCTCTTTCATCCCTTTTCCCCTCCCTCCCACTGTTGATCCTTTTCTCATTTGAGACAGATTTAGCTGAAGTTTATTCCTCGATTCTATTTCTTTAAAGCAATTTTCAGCTAGTTTGTCCTTGTGAATCTCCCACTCTAGGCCTTAGATGTTCAAAGTATTTCTGAAAAACAAAACAAAAAAATATAACTGTTAAGGATCTGAAAGAGTGCCTGGAAAACAGTAAAATATACAAATATTTTAGATTTTCTAGTTTTTTAATAGAAACTGTTGCTGGCCTATTATTAAAAAACAAGAGAAACAATATACAACAGAAATAGGTGGTCCAGAATAGGGAGGAAGCAGAACCAGATTTTTTTAAAAAGCTATAATATGATCTAACTAACAAATGATCAGCTGATAATATCACCAAAACTTGCAATCAAAAAAATAAAATGTAATTTCTAGAGCTGAAAAAGAAACCAGTTTTCTAGTGTTCAACTAGATATTTGACACAGTTTTTTTTTTTTTAAGAGATAGCTGGAAAACAAGTCTCAAGAACATATCCAGATTGGTGAATGGAGACCAAAACTAATGGAAAGTATAAAAAGGACTAGGTAGGACATATGAGACATATATGATAAGGTATAGATATGTAGACAAGATCTACCACATCGACCAATTGCACCAAGAAGCCACCTTGCGTGGTCTACCTATGTCATCCAGGTTTGTCTGTGTATATGCTATGACATTTGTACAATGATGCAATCACTTCACATTTTATTTTTCAGAATGTAACCCCTTTGTTAAGTGATACATGACTAAATATGAATGTGTATTAAAAATCGTTTAAATACACCAATGAAAATGTCATGATGCTACAGTGTCCTGAAACAGACATTCCTTAAAGTCAAGATGCTGGGTACGGTGACAAACACCTGTAATATCAGATACTCAGGAGGAGATCAGGAAGATTGAAAAATTGAGCCCAACCTGGGCAATTTAGCAGCATAAAAAGACACTATCTCAGTAAATAAATACAGAAAGAAAGGTGATTTAGCTCAGTGCAAAGACGCTGGGTCTAATTCCCTGTATAAATAAATACACAAACAAAGCTCATAGAGAACTTGCATGCAAACAAATGAAAAGGAGATTTCATATAAGCGCCATCAAAAAAGATATTAGTATTAGACAACACAAGCTTAAAAGTATTTTTAAAGATGAAGAAGGATATTTAGTAAGTACAAATAAAATTAATGTTATAAGAAGATATAATTTCAATTTGTACGCATCTATTAATGTGGCTCCTAAAATAAATATCAGAAATTGGATTAACAAGAGGAAAAATATACAAAATTATAATGACAGGAGATATTTAGTGTGTTTCCCTGCACATCAGATAGCAAAAGAAAAATATTCATTAAAAAGAGAGATCTGAAAAACACTTGATCTGACAAATACTGGGAATCAGCACTCTGCTACAAAGAAAATTAAATTTGTGCCATTTATAAGAAAATGGATGCATCTTGGGATAGTAATATTAAGTGAACAAGACACACAAATTTAAATAACACATGGCTTCTCTTATACAAGAAGCCCAAAGTATAAATAAATTGTAGAGCAAAATAAAAAATCAATAATAGTGAACAAGAGGACAGATCTTTTGCAAATGAGAAAGAGACCAAGAGATGGAGGTGGGAGGCGGGGGAAGGACAGGAAGAAGCTGTGAGAAAAATCAAGAGGGCCAGGGATATAGCTCAATGGCACCGTACTGAGGTCATGAGTTCAACTCCTGGTACCAAAAAACAAAACAAAAAAAGTGAAGATGTGTTACGTACCATCATGTGTACCAATTCCCCATGATGAATTTAATCATTGTATACTGCAAACATGTATAAATAAAAATTTAAAATTTAAAAAAGCACTGGAAACAGATTATGCATTTTTCCAAGCTCATAAGTAATGTTAGCCAAACATTAATGTCTACATGCTAAGCCATTAAACAACACTCAAAATTATCGAAACTAGTCAATTAAGTCATCAAGCTAGAATTCAAGTGGAATTAAGCTATGCTCCAATGAAAACAGAACAAGAAGATCCCTGAATGCTAGGAAATTAAGCTATTTGATTTCATAAATCACTAGCCAAAGATGAAATTAAGGTAGAAATTAGAAACATTTTGACCATACGACAATGAATACCTGATGCAGCCAACGTACAGAATGCAGCTAAGGGTAGGCTTAATGAGCATTTCATAGGCTTAAAATACATTAGAAAAATAGAACTTAAAACCTGCAGTCCAAGTATCTATTTCAAAAAAACATTAAAACCTCCAGGTTTAACAGTAAGAATGCAGAAGGAAGGAAACAATAAAGAGTTGAAAACTAATAGCAGAAAAAAGGAAAGTGTAATGGAGAAAATTCACAAAGCAGAAAACAGATACTTTGAATAAATCAAGAAAATCAAATACTTAGCTAGCTGAGAAACAATAAAAGAGAAAGACAATGAATTACTGATATTGAAGTAAGAGGGAACAGCTATCTAAATTTTAGCTGTCAAATAATTTTTGTGTGTGTGTGAGTTACTGGGATTGAATCCAAGGCATGTGCCTAAAATGAAAGTACTTTAACTGTGAGCTATGCTCAAATAAAACCTAAGAGAGTATTTTTTTTTATTAGTACATGTTTGAGATACATAGTGATTACATTCATCTTAGGGAGCTGATAATATACATATTGCTTCTTAATCGTGTTTACTCCCCTTGGTTCCCTCCTCCTCCAGTTCCCTTCTTCTCTCTACTGAATCTGCCTTCCTGATTCTTAACATGACTATTTTGCTCTTTAATTTGTTTACATTTTGAGTGTTTCATATGAGAGAGACCATGTGACATTTACATTATGATCTCAAGATCTGTTAATGTGTTTACTTCAATTGTTTCAAAATTCATAAGAAATGGACAAATTCCTAGGAAAAAAGCCCAATGTATCAAAACTGACACAGTAATAACTAGAAAATATAAACAATCTTACATTTTAAAAAGCATTTGTGTACTTTTCTTCACAAACAGATCTTCTGAATAAGTACCATTAATGTTCAATTCTTCCAATAATTTATAAAAGATGAAAGTAGCATTATAAAAACTTCTATGAAGAATAAAAATCTCTTATTTTATGAGACAAGCATTAGTCTGACCACCAAACTAAAAAGGAACATTACAAGAAAGGAATATCACATACACAAAAGAGAAAAAATACAAGCTAATAATAATAAGTAAATACATGAAACTTCCATATATAAATTACCAAGTCAAATCCAGAAATATACAAAAAATTTGAAGTCTGATGTTTCAAAATCATTGAGTTCCTTCCAGAAATACAATGTTGATTTAATTTTAAAAAATCAATGTGACTTGCCACATGAAAAAGAGAGCATAAGAGAAAAATTACAAGATTATCTCAAATAATAAATAACTGGACAAAATTCAATATTTATAATAAAAAAGTTCTTGATGGTCTATGGTTAGAAAGAAATATCCTCAGCTTGATAAATACCATCCATGTACATAATACTTTCTGGTAAATGTTCCATGTTTTCCCCCAGAGACATGGGTGCTTACTAACAATACTTTTTTTCAACATTATCTGTTGGCCTTAGGCAATGCAATAAAAAAGAAAAAATTAAATATTAAAATCAAAAAGGAAGAAATAAAACTCTTTTATGTGAAAACGATAGAGTGATGTGCCTACTCTGAAGTCACATTAAAGTACCCCATACAGTCACTGAAATGGCTAAGTGAAGTACACAGTACATATAGGGACTCAGAAAAATTATAGCAACACTTTCATGAACTAGAACACTCATATCCTGATGATAAGTTGGTACAACCAGTTGGAACTATCACACGGTACTATGGGAATGTATGCTGATATAGCTAGAGGACTGTTAATAGCTACCAAAGTCAAATATATTCTATGCTAAGTAAATATTTAAGAAACGCATGTATACATGCACCTTAAGAAACTGTAACGCTGACTTTTAACAGACTCAAACTACAAATAACCCAAATAACCAACAGTATTAAGAATAAAATACTTGGTGTATTAATATAATTAAGGACTACTGCTCTGACACAAACAATATGGACAGATCTCACAAAGATGTTGTTGCCTAACACATTGAACTCAAAAAGAAATTCACAGACTAAAAGTAAAAGTTTGAAAATCAATACTTCATGCAACAGGAACCCAGAAAAAGAGCAGGGATAACTACCCTGTTTGCAGACAATGTGTGAATTTCAAAACAAAAATGATCAAAAGACCAAGAAACTCACTACATACTTGTTATGGGAAAAATTGAAGAGGAAGAAACAACAATTACATATTTATGATGCTGGACTACCCAGACTACACAAGACAAGTAATAATAGACATGAAGAATCAAATAAGCAATAACACAACTGTAACGAGAGACTTTAATATACCATTGTCACAGAGACAGATCATCTAGACAAAAAGCAGCAAAGGCATAACACAGCTGAAACAAATATGTGAACAAATGGACTTACTAGACATTTATAGAGTGTTCCACCCAACATCACAATACACAGTTTTCTCAGCTGCACACAAGTCATTCTCTAAAATAAACCATTACTAGCTCACAAATGCAAAGGTATCGAAATTATCACATGTATATTATCTGACCATACTTCAAATTGAAAATCAATGGCAAAAAAACCATAAACACATGCAAATTAAGTGACACCCTCGTGAACAAGCAATGGGTCACAGATGAAATTAAAGCAATTAAACAATATTCTACAAGTAATTTGGAGAAGACTTAATGCCCATACTCCTCAAACTCTAATGAAATTAAAAAGGAAACTATTCTCCCTAAATTATTCCTGGAGGTAAGTATTGCCCTGATACCAACACCAGAGAAAGACCCAAACAAAAAAGAGAACTACAGGCCAATCTCCCTAATGAACATAGATGCAAAAACTCACAAAAAAAGTACTAGGAAAACACCATGCAGCAAATCATCAAAAAGATTATACACCATGACCAAGTGGGATTCATTCTAGGAATGCAAGGATATTTCAACATATGCAGGTCAATAAATGTAATATACCACACCAACAGAGTCAAAGACAAAAATCACATGATCATCTCAATAGACGCAAAAAAA